GTTTCTTTTTTATTTTTATTTATATCTTATTGTTATAGGATTTGCGATCATTGTGTGTATATTTGTTTAGGTTTCTGTTTCTACCCAACATATTGGTATCAGGAGCTTCCGCTGTGCCGAGCAGTTTTCTCCTATTCCCTTTGTCTTTTATTCTTTTCTTTGCAACACCACCCTTATGATCTCTCTCTAAACCTTTAAATTCTTCTCATTCTCTCTCTTGATTTCAATCCCTTTAATTTTCTAAATTTACCTACAAGCCTTGAGAAACCCTTTTTTCATAATTATTAGAAAAAAGAGAATGACATTTCTTCAACATCACTTTCAAATAACATTACTCAGAGAGAAGGTTTAAGAGTTCACAACTTAGAGTAGAGATATATGTATTATGTATATATGTACAATTGTATATTTATAGGTTCATATATAAAGATTAAAAGAACCCTATTTTTTTTTTTCTTTTAGAAGGAGCTAGGAGTTGCCAAATTCTGAAATCTGGTCTGTTTGTTGGCAGAATCAATATTTGAACTCTCTCTTTTTTAGTTACTTGTTTCCCTAATGCTTATAATGAGGTCGGTAATATAATGAGGAATTGAATATTTCCAGATTTGTGTATACAGAAGAAATAAGGTCAAGTGAGAGAGAAAGAAAGGCAACGTTTATTAACGGCCGTTTGTCATTTTGTCTAATCATATGTCGTTTTTATTTTATTATTTTAAATAACTGATGTGACGTTCTCAAATTCGTAAATTCACCTAAATTTACACATATAAGAATACGAGTAATTTAATTTATGATAACTTAGAGAAAATCAACTTAGAAGATCCAAATAAAAAATAGAGAGATTGTGCAGTGCCCATAAAGAGCATAGAGGGGAGAGAAAAAATTGAAAAAGATGAAAGAGTTTGAGTGAACAAAATTAGAGACAAGAGAGTTTGTGTTACGTGTTATTTTATTATAATTATTATTTTTGTTTTTTGTTTTTTTAGATGTGCTTTGTTGCCTCTAATGATAATGTGCTATTTCAAAAATTAAATTGATCCATCGATTTATAAAATTTATAACAACAAGATAATATGTTATATTTTAGGGTAAAGTGCAAAAAAAAACCCCCCTAAACTATTGCCCTTTTACTAGGGGTGCACATGGTTCGGTTCCGAACGATTCCGGTTGGAACTGGAACCGCAACCGTTCACAACGGTTCCTTAAAAATGGAATCGGAACCGGAACCGTGAAGGTATGGAACCGAACCGGAACCGTGAAGGTATTGAACTGAACCGGAACCGATTGTTTGCTGTTTTGTTCCCTTGTTCAGTAGAATCAGTAGTGATTTGAAGGCTTTGTTGAGCCCATAGATAAAACAAATAACAGAATACAAAAAAAAAAAAAAAAAAAAAAAAAAACTGATAGTATAAATTATATAATATTACAGTCATTCCTTGGTAATAAATCAACTGATAGTCTGAAATCTGAAATTCTGAATAACCTTTCAAAATAAAAAATGAGAGGATGAATGAGATACTGCTTGAAGAATCAAGATGAGAGGCTATAAGCCGCGATTTCAAGATTAGAGGATGAGAGGAGGCGAGGCTCCGAAGGGGATGAGGATTCGAGAAAGCTTGAGATTCGGCAAGGGCGATGACTATCGAGGAAGCTTTGCTACTTGAGATGAGAGGAGGTGAGGGTTTGCTTGAAAGACGAGACGAGACTTTAGGTAAATTAGGTTAGACTTTAGTTTTTAGATGCGTTTTTCACTCTTTTTTTTATGGCTGTATGAGTGACCACGTGTTGAGACTATGACTATGTCTATGAGTGACTGAGTTTAGTCACTGAATTTTATTTTAGTCTTATATATATATATATATATATATATATATATATATATATATATATATATATATATATATATACGGTTCCGGTTCTTATTTGTTCCCACGGGCTGGAACTGGAACCGGAACCGTATGTCCACGGTTCCTAAATTCGGAACCGGAACCGTGAGAACCGGAACCATTTCTTTTGTTATAGTATTATCTTTTCCGGTTCTCACGGTTCCGATTCTTTTGTGCACCCCTACCTTTTACAAATAACTCCCTGAACTAAAAATTGTCCCCCTGAACTATTGATTTATTACAATTAAGGTCAAACACATTACAAAAAACTATTTTACCCTTCCTCATTAAAATTTTCATTTCTTATTAAATTATTTTTATTATCTTTTCTCTTATGTAAATATTAATTATACTATTTACCTTAATTTTATTATAGTATCAATTTATCATAAAAATAAAAAGATAAATAGATTTGTAACTACCAATTTCCAAATTGATTAACTTATTATTAAAACTTTATTATTTGTAATAAAACTTATTATAACCAATTTAACTATTTTTATCGCAAAAAAAATATCTTCTTTTTCATACAATATATTGATGAAAAATTAATAAAATACTTTTAAAAAAATACCTTCTTTTCATGTAATATATTTATTAAAAATGTAAAAATTAATTAATTTTTTAAAATTATTAAATTATTTTTATTATCTTTTCTCTTATGTAAATATTAATTGTACTATTTACCTTAGTTTTATTATAGTATCAATTTATCATAAAAATGAAAAAATAAAAAGATAAATAGATTTGTAACTACCAATTTCCAAATTGATTAACTTATTATTAAAACTTTATTATTTGTAATAAAACTTATTATAACCAATTTAAACATTTTATTGCAAAAAAATCTATTCTTTTTCATACAATATATTGATGAAAAATTAATAAAACACTTTTAAGAAAATACCTTCTTTTCATGTAATATATTTATTAAAAATGTAAAAATTAATTAATTTTTTTTAAAAAAATTTCTACTAAATTTTTTTATTTAAATAATTAATTTCAAAAATTAAAAACTAAGTTATGCAAATTTAATGGCGAATATGTCATCAAATTTAGGGGTGATCATGGATCGGATTGGTTCGGTTTGGGGTAAAGTTCAATCCGAACCGATCTTCAAGGATTGGAGAAATTTGAAACCAAACCAATCCGTGGGGACCTTCAATCCGAACCAAACCGATCCGTGAAATAACGGATCGGATCGGATCGGTTTGGGCTTTTCAAATAGCCTAATAAAATTAGACTTTGGCCCATTAAAATCTCAAACTAGTAACTAAAAACTAGTAATTAAAACTAGAAAAATAAAATAGACTTGTAAATCATATACCAGGTAATATGCTAACAGTAATAGCAATAAAATTTGTAAGTCATATACCAAATAATAGCAATAGATTTGTAAATTATATACATAATAATAGGCAATATAAATTATCCAAATAGAATAATGAATAAAAAAATTGAAATACAGTAAGTATATTCAATATTGTATATATATTATTTAGGCAACGGTTCGGATCGGTTCGAATTGGTTTTTTTAGGACTCAATCCGTTAACCGAATCGCGAATAGTGGATTGTTATTTTTCTAAACTATCACCGAACCATGAGATCTGAAAACTGAACTAAACCATACGGATCGGATTGGTTCAGACCGGATTGACGGACTATTTGCTCACCCCTAATCAAATTAGTATAATTTTTTTTCATAATTTATTTAGATAAGAAAAATATATTAAATGTAATTCAATAAGAAGAAGTATTATGATTATTTAATGAAATATAATATAGATATTAGGATTTGTTGCAACAAAATATAATAGTTTAAAAAATTTTATACACAAAATATAATATAATTAAGATGAATTATTTATAAATTCAAACATAATTCAGAATTTTTTTTTTACTTTATCTATATTTTATTAGATGAGTTGACATGACTTGCTTGGCGAATCTAATATCAGCTGATTGCCCTGATAGTGGATAGGGATGGCAACGGGACGGGGTGGGGCGGGGATCCCATTCCCCATTCCCATCCCTGGCCAAAATTTTTACCCCCATCCCCGCCCCCAAACTCGTTAAAAATTTCAATCCCACCCCCATCCCCGCCACCATCATCCCCGCCCCCATCCCCGCCACGCCCCGCCCCGCCCCCTATTAAGTTTTCCAGCTTCTCAATATCACACATATGCAGGAAAAAAAAAATCTCAGTTCCAATTGTAAAAAAATAAAAATAAAAATCTCAGTTAAATAAAAAACAAAATGGTTTGATCTATTACACACACACACACACCCATACAGACAGGTTAAATAAGAATTTCTTCAACCATTTTCAAAAAAAAAAATAGATATGTGCGTATGCGTGCGTGTATATATATATATATATATAATAGATCTGATCAAATCAAAACAAGAACAAGAACAAGAATTTCTTCAATCACAAAGGAGACATGCTTATCCTCAGTCAGATCTGGATTACAGAAAGAATCTAGAGCAAAATCAACATATACATATAGATGAACACACTTGCATATGCAGATGAACAAACTTAGATACGGAATCAGACAGGGAAGAGTCAACGCCGGTGAGGGGGAAGACACGATGTCGGGACAGATTGGGAAGGAAGCGAAAGAGCCGATGTTGTCGATTCTTAGGAGAAGAAGACGACAATGGAAGGAGGAGGCCGCCGCTTGGGTTATTAGGACAAGGTTTGAGGGTTTCTAACATTTTATGGTATATAGATAGTATAGGCTAATTTGATAATTATAATAACATGGAGAAGCCTATTTTAGTAACTTTACACTTAATCGGGGCGGGGCGGGTTTACCTCATCCTCGATCCCGATCCCAGCGGGGATTCTTACTTTGTCTCCATTCCCATTTAATTAAAAGGGTATCCATTCTCTTCATAAATGGGACGCTACAGGAATGAAAATTTTGTCATCCCTAACGGTGGACAAGCGTGCCTTGGTCGAAGCACCCCATCCTCCCTCTAGCCTCAAATTGTTATTATTATTTTTAAATATTTTTTACCTTGTTAGTTAAAAGGAGTGGTCAAGTTTGGACATTTTGTGTTGATTTTTATTTATTTAAAGAAACGCACCAGTGTACACGTGTTCAAGTAAGAATCCAAAACAGATCAATTTTTAGTCTTCGACACCTCCGTCCCAACTCCCAACTCGCTTCTGTTCGCTCTCTATGTATATTTGTATATGCTACTTCCTCTGTAAAAATAGACCCTCCTGAGGCTCTTCATTTGGAATTATCAAAAACCCTAAACCCTATAAGATCACCAAATCTTCGAGATGTCACACAAGACCCTAGATCCACGGCACGCCATTGAGTCCTGCACATTCCAGCTACATAGCTGGAGGCCCTTTCACCTCCCAACCACACCAAAAGCCCTAGACCCTGATACCTATATTTCTTCCAAACCATATTCTACCACCACTGCCTCCAGTAATGGTGTTCACAGCAAGAGACCTTGCCGATCCGATCGAGCGACCTCGTTTACGATCGACGCCATCGATATGTCGAAGCTGAGCTTATTTGATGAGGACAGGCCTATTTCGGCGCATAAGCGGGAGAGTCTACGGTGGATCGACAGAAAGCGGCGGCGGCGAGGGTCACGCTCAGTGTCCGGACGGAGCACCGATCGAAGTGGTACTCGGCGGAGGTGTTGCTCGGTGGGGGCGTCGGCGGCTTACGCAACTTGTTCCGATTTTCCAGTGGCGATGGGGACTGATTCGAGTGGGGAGTTGTTTGTGAATGGGGACGCCAATTGGGCATCGGATGTGAGTGAGGCAGCAAAGAATTCGAGGAGAGAGAGAGATGGCGGGAGTGGGGAGAGAGAGAATTTGATTAGTGGGTTTGGGCAAATCGGCAATTTTGATAATCAGGGGAATGAGTCAGGGTATGGGAGTGAACCTGGATATCGGGGTGATGCAGAACTTGGGTACGGCGATGAGGTCGATGAGGAAGAGGACGATTCACGGCTATTGTTTTGGGGTGAGAATTTTGGAGGTACATTGTGCAATTAACATTTGGGTATTTTTTTTATTTGCCTTAATTTCACATATGTTTTGATTTTTATGCCTGTCTTTTTTGGCCACTGCTATTTTGGATGCAAGGGTAGGATGTCTTCATTATTTTTTTAACAGTTTGGTGAATGCTTATAGAGTGGTCTTTAGGGAGTGGGATAGAGTAGTGTCGATTTATTCTTTCATAGAAACAATTTTGAAGCCTGTTGGAGCATTACAGAATTTGTGTATAAGGTGTATTTAAGAGAATTTTACTCGTTTGGAGTTTGGAGCCACCAATCTCGGTCTTAACGGAAGGAAATTTCTGAATTACAATGGCGACCTGAAAAACCAGTAATCATTTAAACAATTTCTTTATCATTGGAAGCTAAAGATGTACAGTTACCTGACTAGCTGGAAGGACTGCAATCTAAATGTGAGGTCAAATGCTCAATTCACAACAATCCAATAAGCTTCTATGTGCTTTATTCTTGGACCTGAGAAGATTTTATTTCATCCCCCTCTATCTGATTCATGCAACTGACAAATAGTTAGTATAAAGCCATGATGCTGTGGGGGATGAGTAACATGTCTGACCTTGTATTATGCAGATGAACCAGTATAACTTCCATTTTTCCAATGGTAATTGTGTTTCAGATATCGTGGAAGGCATCAATCCTGGCTCTTTTAGGAAGTTGCTGGGTTGATAAATGGATTCTACTTATAGATGTTATATTAGTGATTATTTGACTCATGTTGGACAACATAAAATTATTAGATGCTTTCTATCTTCATAGCATGCATTCGTTTTTATAAACAACTCTGCATAAAATGCCTACATTTGGATTAATGAGGGATGGAAAATGGCTTTGAGACCATATTTATTTAACTTGGGAGTAAGAAGGTATTAGTTTTTCCCCCATCTTCTTTTTGGTGATTTGTAGGGGTGGCACCGGGGTAGGTTTGCCTAAACCCTATCCCGCCTCAATTACAAAATCCCAACCGCATCCCCATCTCAAACCTGGGATGGGTTTGTACCCCCAACCCCGTCCCCGTTCTGGCCAAAGAACTAAAACCCCGTTCCCGCCCCGTCCCGACCCTATGTACATATACATCTGTACATAGAACAATATAGAACCTTATACACGCATATAGATTTGTACATAGAACAACAGAAAACCCTAGAATTATATATATACTTGTATATATTTGTAGACAGAGAAGAGAATATTTTAAAGAGAAGAAAATATACCTTGAAGTGCTAATCGGAAGAGAGAATCGTAGTTATGGGGAAGAGATAACCATAGATAACGGATTTAATATCTTCAAAATCATAAGAGTGCATGGTCAGAATGGTTGATAGTTGGCTGAAATGGTTGATTGGTTGTTGAAATCGGAAGAGAGAATCGTAGTTATGTGGAAGAGATAACCGTAGATAACAGATTTAATATCTTCAAAATCACAAGAGTGCATGGTCAGAATGGTTGATCATTGGCTGAAATGGTTGATTGGTTGTTGAAATCGGTGGTCGGCATAGGTGATGTGGTCGGAACACGCAGCGTGAGTGAATAGGAGAGAAGGGAGCGGCGGTTGAAACCCTAAAATGGAAGTTGTTATTTATATGTAGAGATAGGGTAAGGCTTGTATGTATGTGGGGATGTATAATCGGGGTAGGGCGGGGCGGCTTTAACTACAAAACCCCACCCCCCCCCCCCCCCCCCGGACCCAAACCCGAGTCGGGTTTTATATTTTAATACCTTATCCGCCCCTATTCCATTTAAGGGCATACCATCTTTGTCACATTAGGGACGGGGCAAATTGCCACCCCTACTTATTTGTTTGTAAGGTGTATTTTTAACTTTTCATTCCAAATGTACCACTATCTAGCTGCTATATTCCCTTTTCTTTTCTATTGAGGATATCTTATCCTTCATATACATTCGCTTTTTACTTATTTCAACAATTCTCTTGTTTTCTACAACTCAAGTGCTCAACTCATTTGCTAAAAAAAAAAAAGAAGTGTTCAACTCATCAAAAGCCTTTTTCCCACTATTTGGTGGGCTCTTGGTGGTTTCTATACAAATTTTTTTTTTTCTATGTAAAAAATAAGTCATAAATACTCTAAAGTTCAAACATAAGCTTGAAAGTGGATTATTTTTCCTCTGTAGGGTGTTTGACATATCTCCATAACCTAGAAGTAAGAAATGAAAGGAGATGTGAAATTCATTAATTTTCTTTATTTATTTATTTTTTTTGAGTAAAAGGTGAAATTTCAATATATAGAACTCAATAAAGCCTCATCCCAACTCTTTATGGTCAACTAAATGAATTTTTTATCATTTTGCTTTATCTAGAAGCTTACCTTTTTATACGACAAATCCAAAACTCTTTTGAGTATGTTGAAGAAGATCTTACTGGTCACCTAAATACTCACTCAACAAAGTGTTTTCCCAATAGTTTGGATTTGGCAAAATCTTACTACTGGCATCGAAACAAATAATTTGATGGACACATGGATTACTAATCCATGAAGTATCATGATTATCATCAATGCTTGCTATATAAACCATTGATTATTGGTCATGCAATTTGATGATTCCTTTAATTTCCTTAAACAGCAGATTACCAAGTAGGGGGTTAGCATCCCATCCATAATAAGCTTAATGATAGAATGATGTTTAATGGTTTGTTGCTAGCAAAAAGTAAATAAAATTGGTATGACAAATGGTTACGCATTATTTTTTTTTTTTGTGCTGTTTAAATATTTCATCATTTATTTGTGCGAGGAAAAGCTGATATTTTGTAAATCAGGCATTTTGCTTATCTGATTTAGCTGGTGATTTGCTGAATTAACCATTTGTCTTGCACTTGATACAGACTCTAGTATAGAGATGGTTGGGGAGAACACACTGCAAAAAGCGCATCACAGATGCCGGCGTAAGAAACACGATTTTCGAATGATTGAACCATTGAGGTAGAATTTCCGGTTGGCAATTTGTTGAATACCTCTCTTGTATTCCCAAATTTTGGATCTGATAAGCAAGTTTTGTTGGCTCCTTGAATTGCCTCACTAATTATCAAACCATTTGATGTATGATGCATGTTCTGCCTTAACATTCCTCCCAATATGTCAAATATCATCATCCCGATTCCACCAACGGTCATATAGCAGCAATTGGATTTTTAATGCTGTCATGCTGCATTTTCTGATTTGGTCAAAAGATGTTTTGGATGTCCATTACGTTCTGAACCATGGTTGTAAGAAATTTCTGTAAAATGTATGATTGAAAAACTTGGGTTTATTTCTGCAACTTTGTTTGGGTAATGCAAGAAAACAATGAAAAACTGGTTTAGACTTCTGTTATACATTTTTGGGCTGATGACTAGAAAACCAGGTACCTGTCTGAAGGTTGTAAATTATCCGTCATCAGCTGCTGGAGGACCTAATGGTTTCTATCAACTTATTAGCAACCAAATGGCAAACAAGTCCTGTGCAATTTGCTTTTCTGGTGGATGATTTGTTGTATAAAACATCAAAATAATTTAAAAAGAAGTATAGTACGGTTACTATATATATATATTCTTTTAACAGAAGACAGCCAGCAAAGAATGACACTAAGCTCCTTTATTTAATTTTCCTGCCAAGTTTGATCAACATATTGGAAAATGTTTGATGGTGAGTTTCAAAGAACTAATCAATGTTTTTTATTTTTATTTTTATAATTTAAGGGAATTAAATGGATGAGTAGAGGAGGACCGATCTCTTAAAGTGATTGACGTTAGATATAAGGGTCAATTAACGACGAAATTGGAAGATTAAAGTAAAGGGATGTCATAATGGTGCAGTATTAGTCAAAATGTGTGTTGGTTATCATGGAAGTCGTTATCTTGGAAATGGATCTAGCAGTAGACCGGTGGCTGGTGGACTATGCTGCGGTCCTCATTGTGGAAACTCACCAACTCTATTCACAACACAACAAATACAAATTAGCTTCCTTAATTAAATGCATTTTTAATCAAGGTAACTTGATATTAGATTAATTATATATTATATTATATATATATATATATATATATATACTATAGATATGTATGTATATAGGGAGTATTAAAAATGGGAGGGAGGTATATCACCCCCGCTGGTAAGTAGTTTGTCGGACATAGGATATTTAGGTCGTTCAAGGGAAGGGAGGTTCTCGTATGTGAGTAGTCATCATGGGGGGTTTTGGTTGGTTGGTTTGTGAGGGTGGGCACAATTAACGCAAGGAGTGGAGAATGGTGAAGCAGCACGTGTACGGCATAGAGTCAACATTGCTTATAAATCAAACTAATTCCGCCACTCCCACTGCGACGTGCAAACCAAGTCCTCTTCCTTCCTCCACGCATTCTAATTCATGAGGGTCCCATTCTAGTACACACATCATAGATCTAAGATTCCCAGCTCCCTCCTACTCCATTCTATTCCAACGGATTCATATTTTCCACCCATTTTTTATTCTTCTTCTTATTGTTTTTATTTTTTTAAGGTAAAAAATCTTAATCAATACTATTTCACAACACATTTTTTTTTAGTAACAAGCAATGTTATGAAATGCACAACTTCAAATATACATTTGTATAGATGAACGAGGCATTACTCCATGTCACCTCATGTACCACATTGTCAGAGAAAACAAAAAAAACGTGTATAAAAAGAACTCCCTATGATTTTAAAAAGTGTACAAATAACTTAAAATCACCGTTTTAATATGAAAAATTAGCAAACGATACTTTGAACCCAAAAGGTGATAAATGCGGGCCATGTGACCAGAAAATACTTTTTAATGCCAACACTATCTTTTTAAACTTTTTAAATTGCCCCTCATTCATTTTCTCCACATTTCTATATATAATATTTCAAATTTATTATTTCTTTCTCTATAAATACTCTCTCTCTCTCTCTCTCTCTCTCTCTCTCTATTAAAACTGTTCACTTACTCACTGGTGTGTAAAAAATTTATACACGAATTAAATTTTAAAAGTTGAATATAAAAGAATAAACTACCTTTTTAACTACCCAATGAAATTTAACGATTAATACTTAAGGTGTAGATACATTTTCCTGCACATCAGGGAGCAAGTGAATAATTTTGTATATATTTTTCTTTATAATTTCGGTTGTATATATATTTTATATCATTCACGGTCTCTCTCAAGCGGCTCTCTCCCACGTATATAAATTATATTTCTTTAATACTAATATAATAAATAAATTTAATTTATATTTTTAAAAAAATTCTACTTTATCCTAGTGTGTATTAGAGGCTCTCTCCATGTCCATGTCAGATTATGTGTTGTGTGACTATATACAATATATATTTTTTTTATAGAAATAATAGTATGATTTACATTTTATTTTACTACGGAGTAATTTATTTTTCCATAGTCAAGTGATCAAATAATTAAATATTATTTTACCAAAAAAAAAATTAAATATCAATAAAACGAATATATATACCCCTAAATGTCTATACCTATTATAATGAAATATTTGATTAAGCATTAAATGTTTGTCATATGTATAAAATAAAATAGTTTATTCCGTACGAAATATATATATATATATATATATATATATATATATATATTTATATTAATATTCAGTAATTATTCATATGAATATGATTTGGCACTTGACTTTATATATATATATATATATATATATATTACATTATATTTCAAGTGATCAAATAATTAAATATTATTTTACCAAAAAAAAAATTAAATATCAATAAAACGAATATATATACCCCTAAATGTCTATACCTATTATAATGAAATATTTGATTAAGCATTAAATGTTTGTCATATGTATAAAATAAAATAGTTTATTCCGTACGAAATATATATATATATATATATATATATATATATATATATATTTATATTAATATTCAGTAATTATTCATATGAATATGATTTGGCACTTGACTTTATATATATATATATATAACATTATATTTCATTTGATTTTTTAGATAAAGATAATAATAAAATTTATTTATTTGATTTGAAGATATATATATATATATATATATTGATAATTATATTTCATTTGATTTTACTTTCTAATTTTGTTTAAGTCCTTTTAAGTAATTTCAACTTCTACTCATCTTTTATTATTTTTTTAAAGAAAATTTTGAGAAGTATTTTTGTATATCTCACTTTATTTAATTGATAATAAGTCTTTATTTGCTCAGTTTTCATACTTAAATATGTGTGATTTGAATATATAAATTGTTATTTTCACACTTTTCAAATTACAACAATTTTTTTTTTGGGCTCCACCCCATTGTATCTCTATTCACATTAATACGTTTAGTTTTATAATATACATATATATTTTCATATATATTTTTTAATTCTTCATTTATTTACTAGTATGAATTCCTTCCTTTGGTTAGCATAAAATAGATAGAAAGGAAAAGAAATAAAAAAAATTTAAATTTGTTAAATTCCCGGATTTTTTGGCCAGTAAATGGTATATATATATATATATATATATATATAATTGATATCAATCGTGATGATGTAAAATATGTAAACAACCTTTAAAGAAGGAATCGTGTTATACGAATTCGCGAGGAAATTTGTGATTACCATTTTTTTTTTTGAGTTTCCGCCGTATGTTTTTTAAGACTTCCTCGCTTATGTATCTATTTTTGTAAAGGAGGAAATTAAAGAAAAATTCCACAGTGAATCAGTGTTTGATTAATCGACTGACTTAACTGGACATGCCTTTATCGTTTTTACAAAAAATTTATAAATCTTCGATCAGAAGAATTAGATTAACATATTATGGTAAATGTTGCCCTATGAAATCTACGGTATTTGACTTGTACTATGTGATGTCACCGGTTTTTTCTTTTTTTATTAATGAGATTTGTCAATATGCATGCAAGTGATGCAATTATAGAATGCAAGTGTTTTTTTTGGTTTTTTCTGATCACTTGCATGCTTTATAGCTAGACTTTTCCTTCATCAATCTTTTCAACTAAAATGCAACTTTTCAGTACATATACATAGTATATACACGAATGAAACATTATAACAAACTTTATATACCATAATTTATTATTCATAAAGAAATCGCAATACTTGCTCTAATAAGTGTGCCTTTTTTCATATATGAATGCATATGTTTCTCTCTCTCTCTCTATATATAATATAGTTAAGTAAAGTGGTGTTCGCTTCAAATGATTGAATTCCTACCGAAAAATATATAGAATGTTTAAATGATTGTGATATGACAGACAGTCCAATGTATTAATTGGGTTACGGTGTTTATTTGATTAATAATAATAATAATAATAATAACAAGAAGGAGCGTCCACATTACTCAAAGTTGTCCACCAATGTCCTTTGAGTAAGTTTCCCACTTTTAATTAGCCTCCTTAGGTCGGTTGGTATTGGTTTGACCCATAACAGCCTACTGTTTATGGGAATTTACATATCGGCCATAAGGAAAATCTACATTTAAGTAAATTTGAGAGCCTTAAACAATAAATTAGTTTATTTTTAAACTTAATTTTTTAATTTGGATTAAAAACTATTATTTAGGTCCGAAATACCCTCCAAACCCTTATTTCAAAATTCTAAAATATGCTTCCTAAATCAAATAATTCTTTCATTAATAAAATTTAGAAAAATAAGATTTTTAAGTTGACTTTCAATTTGGCATTTTTGTATATGGTGTATATATTGCCAAAATAAAAAAAATAAAAAACAACATATATATATTATATAAGTTTTTTGCAAGAAACTTTAACAGTTTCTCCTAATCTATATTGGTTCAAACCTGCAAATGTCAATTTAAAAATATAAAAATAATTTAGTTGAAATTTATTATATATAGATTTTTTTTTTCGGTAAGTGAAAATTCATCATATATATATATATATATAATTTTATGTGCAAGTAAACGGTACACTGGCAATCATTTTTTTTTTTTTTTTTATTATTTATAAAACAAGTGTAATTAATTGAGCCAAAATATTGATGATCATATCACTGCATACACCAAAGACGATTTATATATTCTTGAGTTTAATTATATATATTTTTTTGGGGACTAACCTTTGATTGTTCCATTTTTTACTATATTGAAACATTTTTATTATTTTTATAATTTGTAACAATATGGTTCAAAGATAAATGAAAGATCTTGTTTTTTTAAATTTTTTAAGTAAAGAAATTATTATAAGAAAGTACTTGGTTTAAGGGGAATACTTTTTATTATTTTGGAATAAGTGTTTGGAACATTTTGGATCTAAACAATAATTATTGATGTATATGCAATTATTTTACTTAATTCAATCAAAGTGAAAAATAAACTTTTAAAATAGATTATTTTGTTATTTAAGACTCATAACTCTATGTAAGTGTAGTTTACCTATCAATAAATTATAATGCTACTAATTTATGGTGGTACCATCATACTTTATTTAATTTGCCTTGGAAGATAGGAGTTTAATTAAAGTTAAAAACCCACACATTAAAACAGTATTCCCGATTATATGGAATTCATCCTTAAGGAGTTACTCGAACACTAATTAATGATACATTTAATTTTGGACAATATATTATCATAACATCCATTCTAATAAACGTGGCTGCTAACCAAACACTTGTACGAATTTATATATATATATATATATATAAGGAAAATTTTAAGGTATAATCTCCATGGAAATATATATAAAAGGAAAATTTTTACAAGTTATAAAAGGTTTCAAATCCATATATCAACTAATTTATCTTCTAACACTTTTTATCTTAAAAAAACAAAAAATTATAAATATGCAATAAGAAATTCTTAATCGTACTTTGATCAAATAATAAAAAAATTCATACAAAACTTAATGAAATAGTCCTATTGAGTACATCCTATAAAAAATTAAGAGCAGTATTACTTAAATCCATAGAATTTCTTGATTGAACACTATTGATTTATAGACAACATATAATATAATTAAAATTTCTTTTATTTTGCATATATAACCTATCAAATCGTTAAGAAATTCTGTTGAACATCTCCACTTTAAAAGCATTTTTCAAAAATCAAAATCCACAAACTAGACAAGTAATTTTAGCACTATAGTGTTAGATGTGGTCCAAACTACTCATGGTTGTTTTGCTTGCTAGAACTAGTTTCCACATGTATTTATTGAGCTGCAATCAAGGTTAGCTTTCTTCTTCAATTTCAATTTCCAAATAACAACTAAATAAAACGACTTCTTTTTTAAAAAATATAAAGTCAATCCCCACTTTTGGAATTTAAATTCAACAAAACAAAAACAGTCTCTCACTCATTTACTTTTCAAACTTAAAGAGGGTAGTTTCGTAATATCATCCGTTAGAATGGGTTATATAAACCCGATTCAGCATAAATGCACCGTCCTCATCAGTAACGCGCCGGAGAAACCGAATTCCCGGCGAGAATCCCTCTCCTTCCGGCGATTTCACGCCACCATCACCACCAGTGCCTCATAACTTAGCCCTACAAGTACTGTACTCTCTTTCAGACCCCAATCGTCCTCTGACAACTCTGTTTCTAGAGAGAGAAAGCAACAAACATGGGCTCCGAATTGATCTACAGGGGTCACGAGACCCAACCCGCCTCCGACGCCTACTCGCCCAAACCTCCCAAGCCGTGGCTCTCTGTGACTCATCCGATTCGCTACATGCTCCGCGAACAGCGACTTGTTTTCGTCCTCGTCGGCATTGCTATAGCCACACTCGTCTTCACCGTCCTTCCCTCTTCTCCCGCCACTTACGGCGACGGTCACCGCCACATCGCGATTTCAGAATCGTACTTCTCGCCAGAGCCAAATCGCGCCACTCACTACCGAACCGGGTTCGGGTCGTTCAATTCGGGTGGGAAGGTCCCGTTGGGTCTGAAACGGAAGGGCCTGAGGATCGTGGTGACCGGTGGGGCAGGGTTCGTCGGGAGCCACCTGGTGGACCGTTTGATTGCGAGAGGGGACAGCGTGATCGTGGTGGACAACTTCTTCACCGGCCGGAAAGAGAACGTGATGCACCATTTTGGGAACCCTAGATTCGAGCTTATCCGACACGACGTCGTTGAGCCACTCCTCTTGGAGGTGGATCAGATCTACCACCTGGCTTGCCCTGCCTCGCCTGTTCATTACAAGTTCAACCCAGTCAAGACCATTATATCCTTTGCTCTGATTTCGAAATTCTATTTCTGAATCTGTTTTCACTGTTGCTTGCTTTTGCAAAAATGTTTTCATTTTTTGTTTTTGTTTTTGTTTTGGGAGTCCTTAATTTTGATTGCTAGGATTCACAAGACAAATGTGGTGGGGACTCTGAACATGCTGGGGCTGGCCAAAAGGGTTGGTGCGCGGTTCTTGCTAACGAGCACCAGCGAGGTGTACGGTGACCCCCTGCAACACCCTCAGGTCGAGACTTACTGGGGCAACGTCAATCCCATCGGTGAGTCAGATTTTTATTCTCTTTTCCGGCTCTCTCTATGGGTTATCGGTGACATGGTACCGGCTGACATTAGCAACGCCCACGGTGGTGTGCTAACTTGCGCCAGACAACTCTTAGACAGACAACTCTTAGACACATATATAGTTACTTGGATAGATATACGGTATAGTGTGGACTCTGAATGTTTAATAATGAGTCCGTGATTTGCTGGTGCGTTAATCAGACGGTGGAGATCTGATTTGATGAATGTTAATTAGCTCTTTACTTTACCGTAAAGAGAATAATTAAGAAGTAGAGTAATCTTTCTAATAGTAGAAGAGAAAGAGAAGGATGTGGTGGAGGGCATTCTGGTGATTTGGTAATATGATACCTAAAACTGAGATCTGACACGGTTTGATGGGGTCGGTGATGACAGGTGTCCGAAGCTGCTACGATGAGGGAAAGCGCACTGCCGAGACGTTGACCATGGACTATCATAGAGGTGCTGGAGTCGAGGTTAGAACTAATAACCTACTAGTACTATTTTGTTTGTTAATATAATATTTTATTTTATTTTTTGGTTAAAAATAGGAAAATTAAATGATTTAAATAACATTTTATTAAGGTTTATAATATGTAGTATATAATATGTGTGTATGTATTATATAATGTGTGCGCGTCAGTGCGTGTGTATGTATTTATGTAGTGTTTGTATGTGGACAGGTGAGGATTGCTAGGATTTTTAACACTTATGGACCTCGGATGTGCATCGATGATGGTCGTGTCGTCAGTAACTTTGTTGCTCAGGTAATTAATTATTTATTTATTAAAATTGACTTTATTTTAGGATAATGTAATATTTGTAATTTAATTCACGTAAAAGAAAAAAAATGAATTTCCATTTTTTGACGTGATGTGAATATATCTACATTTTTTGAGCCTGTGGTCAAGACTTAATTTGATTGATAGTAGTAAAAACAATGAATATGACAATGCAGGCCCTAAGGAAGGAGCCGTTAACAGTTTATGGCGACGGCAAGCAAACAAGGAGTTTCCAATATGTTTCAGATCTGGTATGACATTTTCTTTGCATTTCTCAAATTGCAATTCTTTTTCTTTATGTGGTCTTTTTTTTTTTATTTTTTTTTATTTTTAATTTTTATGTTGATCTCTTACTTTTACTAGCATTTCTCAATTTGGATATGTCAGCTGGAAAGAATATTGTGTTTCAGTATTGGCATATTCACTGTTTTGCGCTTATTTATTTGCAAAACGCCTGTATCAATAGTGGATGCACCACTTCTTTCTCATTTAAAGCATCAAAACATACCCATATGATGGACTGATTTTTAAGTAAACAAATCAATGAGAATGATTCAATGTGCTGCTTGTACATAATTAACCCCTTATAACAACACTAGCATTCTTGAAAGCATTTCAAAAGAAATTGACCATATTTAAACAAAGTTCAATACTCCATTTATACTGAATTTTACACAAAATTTCTCTTAATTCAGTGTTTGACCTATGATTGAAATAAGCGTTGCACCAAACTGTTGTTTTTTTTATTTAATCCGAACCTACTTTTGTTGCTAAATTAACTTATTCCATGTGCTTGACTCCATTTGTGTTAGTGATGATTTATGGAAATGTAGAGGTGGGAACAACTCACATCATGTGAAATCCTAATCTCTCTCTTCTATTTCATGTGTGCCAAAAGAGTGATGATACACTCTGTCTTGTATGTATTGTTCGTGTTTCTCCGAATTTGGAAAAAACCTTTTCTCGTGGCAAAATGTTTCAATATCATTTTCTTGTTTTACTTTTCCCTTCAACAAATTATGGAACCTAGATGTGTTTGGCCTGTATAGGAAAAGAGTACTAAATGCATCAAGGTGCAATGGCAAAGTCAATGTGCTGTTTTTTTTTTTTTAATGTTATTGTGGGTATAGGTTGTAATAAATCTATTTTAATAACTGTAACTATTAATATGAGAATTAATACCTGGTTTCTGGAGCAGGCGTTAACTAGTGTGTGAACGTAACAGATGTTCTTCCAATGGCAAAACTAATAAATTTAGATTTGAAATGAAAACGAACTTAATATATAAGTTAGGGTTGTTTTAAGATTACATTAGTGATGGTGTTAATTACTGGGAACAATATTAATAATGTAATGTGATTTGAAAGGTGGAGGGTCTGATGCGGCTGATGGAAGGAGAACATGTAGGACCTTTCAATCTTGGAAACCCGGGTGAATTCACCATGCTCGAACTTGCTCAGGTAGCTATCTATTATAGTCTCTAAATATCTGCTCCATATTTATCATGTATGTGGGGTGGTATGTCATATCAAATATCTGAGGGTCCCCATTTCTACGTCGGTGCAGGTGGTTCAGGAAACAATTGATCCGGACGCCAAGATAGAATTCAGGCCCAACACAGAGGATGACCCACACAAAAGGAAGCCTGATATCACAAAGGCCAAGGATCTGCTTGGTTGGGAGCCTAAGGTGGCCCTTCGTAAGGGTCTACCTCTAATGGTCTCTGACTTCCGGCAACGAATCTTTGGCGACCACAAGGAAGGTGATGGTGCATCATCTACCACCGTGTGATGTCATGTGGTAAAAATACATTTTAGAGTGAGAAAAGCAAACCCCAATTCAATACAGCACGGATTACAGCTACAGTAGCTCCTTTATTCTCCGCTGATAGTTATGAGCTGTCTCTCTCAACATTTCCTTTATTTTTCACTAGTATCATCCTTTCAATGGCAAACTTGGCCGCTACAGAAGTTATTTCTCTCCTTACTTTTTATTTTTTTATTTTTATTTTTTTATGTAATTGGTGTTTGTAAGAGCAATAGCAATCTATATGTTTTCTAATTTTGTTCTTGCCCCAAAATTTATGGTTGCGTTTACTTCTCAATTTCATGGGGCACTTCCAAACCTTTGCAAATAATTCCAAACAATGACAACACAAATTGAATTGCTTTTGTGTCATTTGTAGTTCCTTGATTATGGCAAGAACATCCGCAAGGTCCGTCCTTGATTAGGGGGAGAAGCTGTGAGAAAATGAATGCGTAAACATTGGTTCTTCTATGGGCTCAGTCAGATTTCGTTGCACTGGAAAATGGACATTGTGTGTTCATTTTAGCTCATCTGAATCCTTTTGAAAGTCTAAATCATATACGTGTCAGTAAACCTGTTTCAAAAGATTGGGGCCTACCATTTGATGGCTCGTGGCCAATTAATAAAACAAATCGGACAACAAAAAAAAAAAAAAAAAAAAAAAAAAATGTCAAATTTTGTGTCATCAACACCATCAAATGGAGGTGCCCGTTTTTGACTAGTAAGAGGAATCTGATGGGGCTGGAAGAACGGTTAAAATGATCAGTGGTTGTGGTTTAGCAATTCTGAGAACACGGGTAAAAATTAGGAACACACTATTTCAATCTAAACAAAGAGGGTGCTTCATTTTTGCCAAGTGAGGATATTACCATCTAAACCTTTTTCTCGCAAGTGAGAAAATCCCTTGCCCCCACATTTGGAGGTAAGAGTAGAGTTTGCAATGGCACTTGTGTCCTGAAATTATTATTATTATTTTTTGAACAAGATTTCTACCCAGTAAAGTATTCCACATTAATCCCAATCTCTTACCATAAATTAACGTTTAACAAAAAGTTAAAAAAAGCAAGGCAGCACCACAACTGAAACCTACTAATGGGATTAATTTCACAAAAGAAATAACCATAGATCCTGCCACATGATTAAACTAAAATCTTTATGGTGTGAAAAATGAAACGTCACCATAGAATATCAGATTCAATAATTTTGGGTGTCTAAGCAAATGAACTGCTCATGTAGGATTGTGCAAATATACGACTGTAGAAATGGAAACTCAACAGGCATAGTAAGTTCAAACAAACGTCTCTGTAAACAACATAATCAACAAACCTCAAAACAAAAAATACAAATCACATTGAATTTAAATGAACGCAGCAAATAATGAAGAAGGTCTAGGGTATACCAATTTAGAGTACAGCGCCATGCAACAACTTTAACACCAAGCAATAAAATAATTTAAGAAGAGATACGTGTGTTTGGACCAAAAGACCATCCATAAAAACGTAAACAAAATCATTCATAATACTTGTGATTTTAGAAGCATTGTTCATGAATCATGTGTAGTCCACCTGATGCGACCATTGGAATTAAACTGATAATAGTCAATTCTGAAATGTAGGAAGATCTCCAATATGTAATTTATATTATTAACTGCCAGACAAAAAAAGGGGGAAAAAAGAAAAGAATACACAGCATCGTGTAAGATTCCCCATGGAAAAAATAGAGTAACAGTTTTCTTTTATTTTATTTTCTATTTCACCAATTGGTTGTGGGATTTAAAAAAGCAATAATATCAATTTTCATTCTACATTTCCTCCAAGTCTTTCAATAAGCTATGTTCTGTAGGGAGCATAGCACGAGAACAGCGGTTTCACTACCCATAAGAGAGAGATACTCAAACCATCATGTAAAGAAACCAGTAACACCACTCATACCATTATGTCATAATCTTTCCAGAGGTAACTAGTACTCGATTACAAGATTGCAGAAATTCAAATTGTAGAAGACCAAAATCTTCACTTCACCGACTTAGCAACCTAACTAAAGTAACAGTAAGAAGTGCTTGTGAGAAGAAGCATGAGTTCTATGATTGTTTAAGTAGATATCGAGGAAACAGAACTTGCATACCCATCACCAAAAGCACATGATTCAGACCACTGGCCCAAAATTTACCACAAGGGATTACAATTCAATGTCCTAGAGAACGACTGAGAACTACAGAAGCACAATAGAGCTTAAGCATTAAAAACCTTGTCTTAACATTGCATGCAAGGAAATTTCTAAAGTTCTTAAATTATAGACGAAATACTTCTCACTTGGGGTTTCTAAGAACAATGATCACAGAATCTCCTCGTAGGAACATCTTGCTAATAAACCTGTCTTTATTAACCGGGTGAGCTTTTTTCTTGCCTTTACCAGTCTTTGGCACCTGAGCAAAAACGCAAATATGAGATGTGGAATTTGTGTTGTAAAACACAAAAATGCATTAGATTGAAGAAAGGAAAGGAAAGGAAAGGAAAGGAGGGAGGGAGGGAGGGAGGGAGAGTATGAAGACAGTTATCCATAGAACAAAACAGACCTCTGTCCACATCTCTCTAACATTTTCCAACACCATGTTGCAGTGTCGATCAAAGGCTCTCACGCGTCCTAGAAGTTTTTTGTTATTTCTGCAGTTGATAAGTACCTGATTGGACACGAATCAAAGAGATGTCAAAAAAATAAAAAACAAAAAATAAAAAATAAGACCCCGTGTAATAGAAGATAAGAAAACCAAATTCATATGTATAGCATTTCCCTCTTGGTTTCACAAGCCATATTTTGAGAACTGAGAGCTGGAAAACCAAATAAGGGAGAAAACCCAATCTGATGATCTCCTCTATCAACAATATTGTCACCAGATTTACATTAATTAAAGCTATCAATTACCTGTGTGTTATTTTTGACAGACATCATCAGAACAGAAAGTGGCCCTGTGTTGAATTCTTCCTCCTCGTTCTTGCCCTGCTACAAAAAGTTTGAGCAAGCAAAATGATTTTCATGTAATAAATGAATGGCATGGTATCAAGAAAACAAAAGCAAATGAGAAATATTGACAAACAAGTATTTTTATCAGGAAAATGTGGAAGAATAGAACATTAACAAATTATGACATAAAAGTGAAAAATTATATTAAATAAACACATTATATCCCATACTAAAAGCTATAAAAAATTTTTAATTACAGTCTACAACTGAATTTACCAGCTCCATTCTTTTTTGGAGAATTGGGGTTTCAGATCATTTGTAGAGTCTACAACTAGTATGCAGTGTAACCACAAGCATGAATGCATGTGCACGCACCGTGCAAATGCACAATTGCACAAAACAGATCATACGTACAGTCTACAAATAGCAAACAGTGTGACCATAAGCGCTAATGAATGTGCACGCACATGCACACAATCGCATGCGCATGCATACGCGCGCGCACAAGTTACATTTCAAAGAATCATCAGATATGTGGTCAAAATATGACCTCAATGGGAGACCCATTTTGAGACTCTTGGAAATTCACAAAGTTCATGGAAAAAATATTTGGAACCTAAAGGTGATCGACTACAGTTCGATAGAGAACCCCATCACAAGCAAGACAGGAAGCTTGTAAGTTCATCACAATATGAGCTGAGCCCAATGTTATTAAAAATGCGTCTAGGCACCAAAAAGGCACCAGGCACAGGCTTAGTGACCTGTATTCACAGGCAACGCGAGCTTTAAAATGCACACACCTGGGTTTGCCTCACCGTAAGTGCCAGGCGCCTAAAAGGCGTGCCCACAGTTTTGTTATTTTTTACTTTTTTGTTTGCTTTAAATTGTAGTATCACTCCCTATTGACGATTGGCATGTGAAAATTATTAACTTGACATCCAAGGACATAACCTGACAGGATACACAGCACAGAACAACAGTTATATTTATTTGTTTGAACCAACTCGTTATGACGCGAGACTAACAACTCAAATCATACTGATAAAACTTCAAGGCTAACAAAGCAAATACAAGGAGCAATAATTTTGTCCAGCATTTCATTTTTATTTCAAATCTTAGAAGATACATGAACAAAGACCGATAAGCAAAAAAGTAGCATAAGCAAATAATAACTGGTAAATAAAACTATTCTAATTGTGTCTGAACTTGAACAGCAACATTCCATCACTCTATTAGCAATTCAAGACTTCACCACATCAACACTAAATTTCGTAAAGGAAGCTAATAACTATTAAATTGTGAATCATCATTAACACAATGAAAGTATAAGAAAGATGTCAAGTTCACAAAACAAAAACAGAATAAAAGAAGCCAAATGAATACTGAAAAGCATGTTAAACCAGTAAGTTAACTTACAGTGGTATCCTCTTCCATTGGTCGACTGCAAAAAAGTAAATAATTTTTTTTAATTAGTACCTTCCAGCCATGCTTGTTAGCCAGAAATTAAATAATGACAAATATAAATGGTGTACAAGCAATTCACTTCCATGTATAAAACAAATTTACTTTTAACAGCTATTGTAGCATACAGTTTTGGACCCAAAAATAGTGCATCACGTAACAATATTTGAGCCATGTTCCAATAAGTCTTTTGTGCTTCCATAGCATCACATAACAATATTTATGAGTGGTAGTCTGCATTAGGGGAACACTAATTCTTCACAATTAATAAGTGAGCATGTGCATTCGTGCAAGTAAAGTATGCAGAGTAAGATATTAATAAGGAGAATGAAAATCTCTATAGGTGTGGAAATAGGATAAACATGTTTTCCTGCATAGGAGAGTGCGTCAGAGAGGTAGCACTCGGAGTGTATGCAAAACATAAATAAATAAATCCTTATATAATTAACAATGGCATCCTAAGACCACAATTTAAAGAATGAATGAAATTTTGGGGTCAAATCAGATCCAAATGGTTTTGGAATGTAAAGAAAGAAACAAAATGGTTAGTAACTCTGACAACAGTTTTCTGAAAACTGTACAAAAAAAACTCTTCTTGGATCAATTTTCTGAAAACTGTTTTCTAAAAAACTCAAGTTATTTTTTTTTTTTTGATAAGTCTAAAAAACTCAAGTTATAAAAAGGTCCCCGTTTTCAGATAGTCTTTTATAATTCTCTGAAAACAGTTTTATGTTCTCTGAATTCAGAGTTACAAATCAAGCAGGCCCTGTTTCTGGAATCCTCATATCCTCCTGTACGCAGCCTACATCATAGAATAGTATTGATATTTATGTAACTATGAATTTCTCTTGATTAACCAACCTATCAAGTGCAAAACAATAAGAAAACCAATGAAAAACTCAAAAGAAAGAAAACATTAGGGTATAGTTCGATTTTCTCGAGTATATCATTGATATTTATGCGAATATGTATTTCTCACGATTAACCAACTTATCAGTGCAAAACAAAGAAAAACAATGAAAAACTTACAGAAATAAAATGATTTAGGATTAGGACATAGTTTGATCGGTTTTACTGAGGCCGTTAAGGCCATATAGCAACATACTAATCTGATAGCAGGTACAAAGCAATCCAAGAAATCAATATATACAGTAGAAAACCAAATGAAAAACTGAAAGATACCTCATCTCGAATCAAATCAATGGATGTAAAACACGAACGAACAGTAATAAAACCTGAAAAAAAAAAAAAAAATTTAGGGTTATTCCTTACTGTAACACTCTTAAAGAAAAGTTAGGGTGGTTTAAGAATAAGATTAAAAAATTTACAGAAGTTAAACAGAAAATTGAAAAACATAACCAGAGAATCAAAGGGACTTCAGTAACTCACCGGTTTGGGAATTTCTAGAGCTCTATCGACGTCGCGATTTCTTAAAAATTCAGAGTCCGACTGAAGTCTCTATGGTATATGATATATTGTTACGCCTATTTAATACACGCTGAAGATGGACAACTTGGGCCAGCAACTGGATCCTAACCTGACCTAGTCCAGGTGGATCTAGGCTTGAGCTCGTCAGAGACGCTGAAGTGGCAATTCGAGGACAACTTGGGCCGACAACTTGATTCTAATCTGACCTAGGCCTGACAAATGGGTAGATTTTGGGCTTGAGACCGTCAGAAACTAGTGGGCTAAAAATGGGTCACAATCTAATAAGCATGAGCCATGAGGTGCCGTGATCTTGGCAGTTTTCTTTTGAATATCAGAAAACCAATAATAATTCATGCAAAAAAAAAAAAAATTGAATTTATTTCCCTCAGCAAATTTATGGTAAATTAAGTATGGATACTAGTAATTGATTTTTTCATTAAGGTAAATAAATAAAAAATTGTTAACATGTTTCAATCGCGTGAGATTTTTTTTTTCTTTTTTCTACTTTTTTTCTTCCCTGTTTCTACATGCAATTTAACGTAAACAAAACATCAAACATACTTAATATATAGCTGACAATAGCTGTTCCACTCCAAATAATATTGAATTCTAATATATCTTTAATATATAAATGTTCATGACTCATGAGTTAATGATAATTTACTAAATATTTCAATATTAGATTTCATAGAATAGATATATTTACCTCTTAATATTACAGTTAGAATTATTTACATGTTCACATGCAACGTATCATATGTACTTACCTTGTTTGGTTGTTGATTGCCTTTTATATGGGCTACTTACTTGGCCACGAATTTTTATTTTATTTTATTTTTTTTTCTCTCGTGAAAACCAAGATAAGATAACAACACTTGAGGCCTGAACTTTTACAACTTCCACAACACCATCACACCCAAAAACACCTAAAAATCAAGTTTATAATAATGTTGCTCAGATGCGGTCACCTTAACAATACGGATTACTTGGTATATTGTTTTTATATGCATAATTGCTGCTCCCTCTGTCCCTTTATAATAATCCAATTCCACGTTTCACAGTTTTGAGGGCAACAATTTTTATGATAATTGGCAAAAGATGTATTTTTAAATTTGCCCTTACCTAAAAAGTAGGGTATGAAAAGATCAGGTTTATTATTAATAATATAGAAAAGATATTTTTAATGAGATCCACTTATTTTGAAATTTTAATTAATTTAATCTTTTAAAGGTAAATTGGGAATGTAATAAAACTAGTGTATTGATTTTTAAAATGTGACAATTAAAATGGGATAACAAAAACTAAGATAATAGATTATTAATATGAGACGGAAGGAGAATTCTTTTTATTTTTCATATACACAATATTTGACATGAATAAATCTCCTTTATCCAATAATAGTTACCTTAATGAAGTACATCAATTACTTTAAACTTCTATCGACAACATTTTTAATTTTGTTTTTATATATATATTTCTAATTTTCAACTTTATTATTTCAATAAACTACAAGATTTTTGTCATAATTATTTAATCATCTTTGTCCAAGAGTGAGTTACCTTATTGTAAGGTTTGCCTTGTATCATAAAATATTTAAAAGGCATTGTTTGAACACCTCCACCCTTATCACTCACTCACTCAGACAATTACTACCATCTATCTGCTCAGTAATTTGGAAGAACCAGCTTGGCATTGCTGTGAGATGAATTCAAACCAGTAATTTGGCCTTGCAAAATGTATCAACTCCCATGAAGAAGAGCCCCCTTCTTATTTTGTATCCCTTCCATAATTCACTTGACAATTTCAGAAGAAACCAAGAAAACTATGTCTGGACTACATTGCCGAGTGATGATGCATGCGACGCCCCTTCCACCCGCAGAGGTAGTTCCCGCGCGATCGTGTCTGCTGCGGCTTCTGTTTATCTACTATTGTCACCGGTGAAGCCTCGACGGTAAATTTCACAACGGCAGGCTCAAAATGGTTAACTGATTGTGTTTTACTACCATCTATGGATCGCTTGTCAAGCCAAGCTATTATGTCCGAGAAGACTATCTCAATGTTGTTATCTGGCTCCCCAGACGTCAAGCCATGCCACATCCCCGCGTACAGTTTTATGGTTTTGTCCTCGCTGCTGGCCCGCTCATATAGTGCTCTACTCACTTCCGGGTCAGTCACGGTGTCCGCCTCCCCGTGCAAAACAAAGAATGGTAGTGTCACCTGCCAAAGAAACCACAAAGAATGTGATGATGGAAGGTGCTGGTTTTAATGAATGTGGTCCTTAAAAATATATCATTCAACTTTTTCACATGTTATAGATGCAAAGACAGTTCAGGGTTCTTTAATTGCCTCTCTTTTTCCCCTTACTCCCGTAAGGTAGAATTGAATCCCAGCTATCAGCTTCACAACGACCAATATTATTACAAGATGAAGAAAAATATATCAATAATTGAACCAATGGAACATTAATCAGTACATCAGTATGTGATCATTTGTTTGATTTTCACTTCCTACAAAACTGTCTAGCTGATGCTACTTGGGACAAATGTAAAATCAAGCAATATGCTTTTAGAGGAACGCTGGTGCAGTTGCTCACCAGTCTTGTGAGAACTGCCGGGCATCCAACAGTAGGATTCATTTCATTCAATAGTTCATCGACAAGCGTCGCAACTGTCAGTTGCATTTGTCAATGTTTTTATAATGACATTGTCCTACTCTGAAAGAAGTGAAGTTGTGGAGCCGTGTAGGCTTGAAACACTATGAATTTAGGGTAGGTGAGTGAATTATTGCAAGAAGTGGGTATGCTAAACAATAGTGGAAATAGTAGTGTTTGGGAAGTGGAGAAAGTAATTACCTCGCCTAAGCTGTCCTCAAGGTTTAAGCTAGTTCTGAGCATTTCGAGCGCTGTTTTCAGCCGAGGCTTGTCTTGGTATATCAACTTGTTGTTACGTATCTTCACACATTAAGAGAGAGAAACTATGTTAAATATTAGAATACCCCTCATTCTACAAGTATCAGTTATGATGAGCTCACCTCCTCTCGCTTAACAGGGTCCTTGAAGGCCGAGTTAATGACATCCTTTGTAGGGACTATCTTCCATTTGGGTATGATTTCTTCTACTCTCGTCAGAATACTCACAACTACTGGATGTGGCTTTACCTTTTCTGAGATCTGAAAAACACCAGTGGCCCATTCTCCAGTCATATATAAATATATATTTTATTAGATAACATGATTACTACTACCACCAAGGGTTGTAGTCTAGCCCTATCTCTGCTACCTCCCAAAAAGTGGAAGGTGAAAGTTTAAATCATCATATCATATGGGCAAATGGGAGTGTGAGTTTCTTGTCAAGGGAAATAAAAAAAATTAAAATTAAAATTAAAAAGGAGAAAAAGGAAAAAACATGGTTCCTACAGTATGATAACATGAAACCGCATTGATTACATGCTTGACAACCCATTATATATTACCTTACACATGGGTGCAACTAGAATAGCACCATGCCAGAAAGTAGGATCCTTTTTGTGTATTAGCAGAGCCACTGCCCCTCCCATTGACTCTCCATACAAGAACCTCCTTTTATCCTTGTACTCTTCCTGCCCTGAGATCCATGCATGAGAAAAACTTTACCATTTTTTTTTCAAGTAAAAGCAACTTTACCCGTGTATATCACAAAAAATAAAAAGTAAAACTGAAACTGTGAAACATAACTTTATTGATTAACATTTTCTCATGCATTTCAATTAATGGAGATGCAGAGGAAGAGGGGTGGGTTGCTTACCACAAATGGACTTGAAGAAGTTACTGCAGTCATTGACAATATTGTCAAACTTCTTGATGTAACAACGGGCACCCAAGGATCGCCCATGTCCTTCATAATCAATTCCAATCACAGCGTACCCGTAGCTCGCCAGCCTGGTCCCACATCCTAAAAGCATCAAAAATCAAGTCACGTTGGGCCCTAAGCACAATATCTTTAATTATTTTGTTTACGAGGCAAGTCATAACCAATATATTGGTTGGTTGTTATCTAGTGGACACTTTAGAGGTATCATGCAGGGATCAGTGACCTGCTGACTCATCAATTAATTGTTCACCAACCTAACTGACCATGTCTTTATATGGGTTCACAACCTGACCAAGAGTAGTTAAGTATTCCTGTGTACCTTTAAAAGAGGACTGCGTCTACTACCAAAGAGATAATAATAGACCTATCTAACCCAATGATACATATGATTTTTGCACAAAGGGTATGGGTATAAGTCTTACTTGTTCTACAATATCAGCTACTTATCACAAAAGACGAAAAAAGGCTCTACATAATAAGCATGTAAAAAGGGTGGTTATCAAACAAGTATTATAGTTGTGTGAAGAGATAAATATAATATCCTTACCCCTAATAACCACAACGGGTAGCCAAGTTGATATGAGGCTCTGCTAAACTACCTAGATGTTTCAGGTTTGACTAGTAGCCCATACTTGCCCCTTGTGTATCCGCGAGTCCATAATATCTTTCACATAAATATTTCAATTAGTTGAAAATAAGTTGCAAGAGGAAATGCACACGACGTGTATAGAAGACGAATAGGTTGTAACATCAGATACAATGAAAGTTGACCTGCCCTATATTATTAAAGTTTTATTAAGCATGCATCTTATCTACTATTAACCATGATTAACTAGTTCACAGCTGCATAAAAGGGAAATTAATTCTCATTAGACACCCCACATCAACACATCCACACAACTACTTAATTGGACATGCATTTATATTATTTGGCAATCACCTAAATTAATATTGAAGAAATAATTACCATCCTACACATCAATTAAAAAATAACATAACTAGCAAACATACAGTTAGCCCTTTCCCATTTCTCTTTTCAGTTTTTCCCAGTTTCAAGTGCAAGCTTACTTTGATAGCAATAATAATATAAGGATTTGCTAAAAAGTAAAAAGAAAATTTGCAATTTATTAAATCCACATTCATTTTAGTTGCTTCTGCAGTCCCTTGTCCTTTGAATTAGAGGGGATCATTGGAATTTAATCATTTCATAGTTCAAAAGATTAACAAAAAGAAATTATTATAGAATTGGAAAGGAGAAAAAATAGACGACGACCTCATAGTATGGTCCATAATTAAGAGCCTCAGACCAACCAATGCACCACAACGAATAAAAAAATGCAATGTGAACACAAAAGAAAAACTGAAATGATTTCACCAGCTTAGTCGGGGAACAATGAGGTCACAGTAGAGTGAGGACAAGAGAAACAGAGTAAGGGCATGGCATGTATATACAGGCTTTACAGCACAAACAGTTCACTTTATTTCAAGTCACTGTAGGAGCTACTACATACTTGTTGCCAGCACTAATCTCACTCAACCAAGAAAAATAAGGAACAAATGTTTAATCAAAGATTCAAAACCAATTGTTGGACATCCAAATTCCTGAATAAAAGTCAAAATTTCCATTTAGAGCCCAGACTAAGACATGGAAAAAATTTCATTGGAAAATAAGAATGGGATTATTATCCAGTGAGATTATCCTTACTGCACATTTGACTGAAGTTGTTTGAAAGGGAAGGAAAGGAAAGAAGGAGGGAGAGTTTATCTCGTGTTTGTTTGTTCTACAATTGAGGAGAGACAAAAACAATAGGAGGGAAAAGTGGAAGGATTTGCAAGGGTAGGTCAGGGTTACAACACATTTTGTCCCCACTTCCATTTTGCCCTGTCTGCTCACATAATTAAACATCACTACATTCATTACACTTAGTTGTTGACTATCTTTCCTTTTTCCTTAGTTAATTATCAATCGCAACAAGCAATCAACATTCTCCTCTGATTTCTTTTCTTTTTGCTCATAACATAACTAAATATTATCAGCTTCCTCTTTTTCCTTACTTTCAATAGTAACGAGTAAGTAAATAAATTTTCAGATTCAGATATAACTTTTAGCATTATTAGTAACTGGTATAGTGAGTGAGGTCCACGGTTGTTTAACTAGCATATTTCCTACAGAACAAGAAGCAAAGATGAAGGCATTTGGACACCAGATGGAAGTAGTCCCAAACATTAAGCACAATAAATTGAAAATATGATCTGCCAAAAATATTGGGGAAGAAATAGAAATAAAATAAACCAAATGAAAAAACTAATAATAATTATTATTACCTTTCATGAAATCACTGCATTCCATACCATAACCTGCAAACCCATTAATCGATGTTTAATAATAATAATAATAATTCCAAAAAAAAAAAAAAAAAGTAACAGAATGAATAGAATTGAGAGAGAGATACCATGGCACAAGAAAACAAGGGCCTTGGGAGAAGAAAAAGGCAACCATCTGCAAGTAAAGAGCTGCACTCCTCTGGAATTCCTTATAAACTCCTAATATCATTCAATACATATTGATACATATACAAAGTACAAACAAACCCATCACAAACTAAAATTGTACATAGATATTGAATAATAAGAGAGAGAGTAACCCACCTCATGATATTCAACCTCCATCTACTGCAACAGCAAAGCACACCAAACTAAGCAATCAAAATCAACATGCCCACAATCTCATCTACAGTGCTTGCTTTCTAGATCTGTAATGAAACCAGTTATGGCACCGGGATAAGATTATAATACAGAAAGAGACAGAGAAAGAAAAAAAAAAAAAAAAATTTGTTCCCGTTAGTGAGTGGTGACTCAGATATGTTCAGAATCTCACCTATTGTGCTAGATCTGTAATAAGATAAAGACCCACTACGTCGGACACAAAAGGTTAGAACCAAGATTAAGATTATCACAAAGAAAATAGAAATAGACAGATTACTGCTGGAAGAGACACAGACTTTCTAATAACAGGCTTGAGAGTGATGTAAGTTTTGAGAGAGAGTTTTGATTTGATTTTGATTTGGCTGGGTTGGTTGTGTCTTTGACATGGAACGGAAGGAAAAGTTACAAAAGTTTTTAAGGTTACGTGCACGTGAGCCCCATCTCGCCACTCCACAATTTCGTTGGATATATTGAATTGAATATGATATTGAATAGACGTAGCTGCTCCCACTCGGAGTTTTGACCCACTCCCCCACCTTTATATATCGTCCTCCGAGTTTTGACCCACCCCCCCACTTTATATATCGTCCTCTCACTTTCTCTCTCTATCCATCCTTATCACCAATCTCCATATCCCACCATCATCGTTGAATGTTGATCGATTCCGCCACGTGGCAATTGCGTGGAAAATTAATACGGAGTATAAAATTTTATATTTTTCTTAATTACTAGCCTTTAAGTTTCGAAAATTTCTAAATTGACAATATATTATTATTATTATTTTTTAATTAGTGGAGATCTAGTTTTAAAATTTTAAAAGGAGACGTGCGTAAACGTGTGTCAATAAAAAAAAAAATTTACAATATAAACTTATTTTTTAAGCTTGAGTTGAATTTGCTCAAGTTTTAGCTGATGATGACTCATATTTGTTAATTTTGAAAAAGAAAATAAAAGTTAAAAAAAAAAATAGATTTGAAAGATTCTAACAATTTAAATGAGACTAAACACTTAAAAAAAAACAGCAAATCATGATATGTCTGCTAATATTATAATTACAATAGTAATAATAACAGTAAAACGATAAATCGCTAGACTGGGTCCGATTTCCCACACCTATATAATAGCTAAGTTGAGATAGGATTAACAATTTTTAATTAAAATAAGTTAAATTAATAAATTTAAATAAAAAAAAAAAAAAACAAAAAAACAAAAGTTGTTTGAATGGGACCTTCTAGCTTCGTGCCTTAGTCCTTCTGGGAGACCTTCTGACGAAGAAATTTAATGCTTGCAACGACTGTAGTAGAGCAAAGAAGTACGATCGGAGCCTCACCGGACTGTTATATCCTACCGTAACGGCATTTGGGATTTGAATTTGACAATATGAACTTTCGGGATGGCAAAATATGGTAGCCTCCTCCTCCTCTCGCCTCTCGATTCTAGGCAAGCTTTCTCATCCTAAATCATCATCTATTCTCTTAACAAAAAATTTAAAATAAATAAATAAATAAATAAGAAGTATATTTTTAACCATCACATACCTTCGTCATTCCGGGCAATACTCAATTATGGACTGCATGCTCTAGTTAGGAATCGGAGATAGAACAATGGAGGGTAACAATTCTGAATCTACTATTACTGTTGTTTTTATGTTGAAACCACGGGTCTTTATCCATAAGCAATGAGTATCAATGTATTGTGTTCCTTTTTCAAAAAAAAAAAAAAATGTATTTTCTTGCTTGCTTGTTAATTAGTGAATCTTTAAGGCGTTGTTTTAGGAAGAACTTGAACTTATTCCGTGGACGTACATGTATTCTCTCTCCTCCAAAATAAAATCGTCAAAAATGTCTGACTTGTTGATTGTGTGTTGTTCACTCCCAACATGGCGGAAAATTATGACAAATATGTAGAAAATAAGGTACACCAAAGCTCTGTTTTTTAGCCAACACCATTAACCTATTTTTCACCTTAGAATTGGTCAAACCCAAAAATGTAATGAATAAGGAAATTAATGAGAAACAAAAGCTTATCCATTTACCTAATAAAAAATAAGAAATAAAAAAAAATTAAAAAAAAGGATATGAGAAACATACGTGGACGTTGTTGTGAGCATTGGGTTCCTCATTAATTTGCTGCATATAATGCTCATGTGCGTACTCTCCACCTACAACTAATTGATGTGTCTTTGTGCTGCTATATATCTTTCATTTCTAGCTTGATTCTCAATTATAACTTGTTTTAGGCCACAAATTCTGTAACATCTCCCTTTACAGTTTGTTTGTATAAATACAGTATTTCAAACATCTATACAGTACTCACTCAATTCTGATTCAGATAGGCAATCGTTTTGCATTAAAATTTTGAAATTTGGAAGTTGGAATGGGAAACCTCCACGATTCAACCACACATAAAGGTGTAATGATCAATTAATGAGAAATAAATGGACTTTTAAAGTTTTCAACGAATTAGTTGGTCTTCTTGACGGAGACGTGCTTTATCACACCAGAATTAGGTCACTAAATGGTTTTGGTGAATTAAACCAATGGTATCTATTTAGGCAGGTTATCTGCGATCTAGGGACAGGTCACCCACCCTGTGTTAGAAGTTTTTCTTTGACATTTCTTCTCAGCTTTAATTAAATGACTAGGGATCATGGAAGTACAGTGTCATGCAATATTAGGGTAAATAAACTCCGAGATTGATTCAACATTTCTCCTTAATTTTTTATACAGAAGACGCCATTCACAATAATTTCAAACTCATGCATGAACCTTTACATGCAAACACATTAATTACACGCTTTTGTAATACTACAGATAATTTTTTTTTTTTTTTTTTTACTCAATTGAGACTTAATAGGGGGAGAGAGATGAAAGCATGCTTAATAAAATAGTTGATTTTTATCAAGAGTCATATCTGCTAACATGATTCTCTACAATGGAGAGTCAAATAGTGAACACAAGTATTGCTACATCATTGAGATGCCGTACTCATGAAAAGATGAGCGAAAAGAAGGCCAAATAAAAAGTTCAATGAGAATCTCTCATGACTCTTTAATATTAAAATGTAAATGAATGACATTTATAACTGAATTTTATATACTCCATCGATCCAAAACAAAAAGAAATAGAGGGAGTATTCAATTTTTAACTTTAACTAAAAAGCTGCCAAAATTAATTTTTGAGGAGTGTTATATGCACCGAAAGTGCAAGCGACAAAAATAAAATAAAATTATTCAAGCAATTAACTAAGATAAGTAAACTGTACAGAGAGATGCAGGCCTATTAAGTAAGGCAAGACCCAAAAGCAAAAGGAGCCCAACAATAACTGAACCCAATACAGCAAAAGATGAGCCCAAGCGGTTAAACCGCAAGCCTAATTCAATTTTATGCAAACCGATCCATCAAACGCAATTCAAAACTCCGGCCACGCAATGAGAGCACTCATAAAAAGCTGGAACACATATTGCCTATTCGTGTGCCGGAGTACCCAAATAATGCCCGGTTGGGGAGATTAGCAAGGGCAATTTAATTTGAATTAAAATTGCATTTGGCTTGGGGAATTTATTAAAAAAAAAAAAATCTAGTAAATTTGCCGCCTTCAGGGGCAGTAACAGCAATGCAAGCTTCAACAAAGCTCATATCCCCTACTCACCCAACTCTTAATCTTTCTCACCCAACCATCGAATCTTTCATCTGGAACACCCTCATTAGAGCCCATGTCCAAGCCAAGGCACGACCACCCACAACTCCTTTCTTCAATTCCCCACTCTCCATCTTCCTCCGCATGCGCTTCCATTCCGTCCAACCAGATTTCCACACCTTCCCTTTCCTTCTTCAATCCTTCACTTCTCCATCTTCCCTCCATTCAGGACTCAAGATTCATGCCCAAATTTTTAAATTTGGGCTTGCTTGCGACCCATTTGTCCAAACATCTCTCATCAACATGTTCTCATCTTGTGGCAATTTGGGTTTTGCCCAACAATTATTCGATGAAATACCCCAACCGGATTTACCCTCTTGGAATTCGATCATAAATGCAAATGTGAAATTGGGTTTTATCAATGTTGCTCGGAATTTGTTTGATGAGATGCCAAAACGTAATGTGATATCTTGGAGTTGTATGTTAAGCGGGTATGTGAGGTGTGGAGAGTGTAAAGAAGCACTGACATTGTTTCGGGAGATGCAAAGGATGGAAGTAAGTGATGTTAGGCCTAATCAGTTCACGATGTCTGTCGTGCTTTCAGCTTGTGGACGGTTAGGTGCACTTGAGCATGGCAAATGGGCCCATGCTTATATTGATAAATGTGGGATGAAGGTTGATGTTGTTTTAGGGACTTGTTTGATAGACATGTATGCGAAATGTGGGAGTATTGATAGAGCAAGGTGGGTATTCGACAACTTGGGTCCTAACAAGGATGTGATGGCTTGGAGTGCCATGATGTCTGGTTTGGCCATGCATGGGCATGGTCAAGAATGCCTTGATTTATTCTCGAAGATGATGAATTATGGGGTGAGACCCAATGGTGTAATCTTTTTAGGCGTTCTCTGTGCTTGTGTACATGGTGGCTTAGTCAGTGAAGGGAATGATTACTTCAATATGATGGACAAGGAGTTTGGGATTAGTCCTTTGATCCAACACTATGGTTGCATGGTTGACCTCTACGGAAGAGCTGGTCTTATAGATAAGGCTTGGGATGTTGTGAAATCCATGCCTATGGAGCCTGACGTGATTGTATGGGGAGCTCTTCTTAGTGGATCTAGAATGTGTGGGGACATTGAAACATGTGAGGTTGCACTCAAGAAACTAATCGAGTTGGAACCCACAAACAGCAGCGCTTATGTGCTTCTGTCAAATGTGTATGCAAAGATGGGTAGATGGAAGGATGCAAGGAATGTGAGATCTCTCATGGAAGCAAATGGAATAAGGAAAGTACCAGGATGTAGCTTGGTTGAGGTGGGGGGTGTCATTCACGAGTTTTTTGTGGGAGATGAGTCTCATCCCGATACAAGGGAGATATATCTGATGCTTGATGAGATTATGAATAGGTTAAAGATAAACGGTTATGTAACCAACACGAAAGAGGTATTGCTTGACTTGGATGAGGAAGGAAAGGAATTGGCACTTTCACTTCATAGTGAAAAATTGGCCATTGCCTTCGCCATTTTAAAGACAAATATAGGTACTCCAATACATATCGTTAAAAACCTTAGGACATGCAGTGATTGTCATGTTGCCATGAAGATGATATCTAAGGTGTTTGGCCGGGAGATTGTTGTTAGAGATTGCAGTCGGTTTCACCATTTTATTGATGGGGTATGCTCTTGTAAAGACTATTGGTAAAGGGAACAGAAAATTACTGAATTTGATTGGGACTTTTCTGTCCCTTCTATGTTGCATGTATCACATACCTTTATTCCTATATGATTCAGCATGACTGAAATCAATCAAGTTCAAAGACCTACTCAAAACACAGAAACTTCTTCTTGTAGTCAATGTTGAGATGCCTGCACTCTGGATTCAATCTTTGGGCTCTGCATAAGGGATGCTTATTGGAAAATAAATATATTGCTTAATCGCTGGTTCCCATGAATGAAATTAATTGTTCAAGGTGAGAACTCTTGAGAATTTCAAGCTAATGCAAATTTGTGATTTGCCTATGGTGTATTCACATATGCATTGTTTTGCTTATATGTTATTCTGACTTACATATGATTTTTGGTACGACATTTTAATATAGATGCCAAACTGCCAGCCTTAAATCTTTAAAATCAAACTCTGCTTGTCATCTCTCATCAATTTCAAGCTGATATAAGTTGTGGTTCAGGTGTGTTTCACCTTGTTGTTCTTTTAGCTTTATGCCATTCTGAATCACGAATTTATATTGGCATATCATGTTATGTGCATGCTTATCTGCCATCTCGAAAGCTTGACAAAAAATAGATTACTCTCTCTCACACACAAACACACACAACATACATCATTGCATTTTATTTGAAATTTCCTCAAGAGGATATGTGGGTCGTGGACGTCAAACACTCAGTCTTCTTGTTTGATTAACAGAGCCCTTGTTACTATTTGAGGCCATGAGCTTACTTGCTATTAAGTATTGCTTGGTAGACTTGATTTATAAACTGCTGCTGCCCCATTCCAACATTTCCGTTTGCTTCGTTGAAAAATATTTTTCTCGGAAAAGATTTTCTTTTTTCAGGTAAAATATTTTCTTTATTTTTTGTATTTTTGGTGTTTGGCAAAGGTGTAAGTCGAGTCCATTAACTTGCCGAAAATTTATGGGTAATATTTTTTTTGTTAGGTTTTAATTTTTTTTTTATCCATAAATATTTTACAACAATAGAACACTAAAAAAATAAAATAATATTTTCTGATAAATATTTTACATCCAAACAAACAGAGCCAAATGATTTTTCTTTGCCATAAATAGGGTAAAGTGCATTAAACCCCCTGAACTATTGGGCTATGTGCAAGAAACCCCCTTGAACTATAAAAGTTGTAAAAAAAAACCCCCTGAACTATTGGGGTATGTGCAAGAAACCCCCTGAACTATATATTTTTTTGCAGTTTATCCCATCCGTGTGAATTGATTGACTGAAAGGGATGATGAAGCCGAGGAATTTGTTGCTGGGATCGGTGGGTCTTCTGTCATAGCTCCATCATAGCCGTTGCACCACCCGCCAGATCTGTTGGCCATATATATTGCACTTCTCTTCTCTGCACCATTGCGTCAACCCATCGCTATCACCGCCTTGCCCGCTATTCAGCTCACCTTGCTCGCCAGTCCATTCCACCGTCCATTCCAATCTCGTCGGCCCATTCGGCCATCTCCATAGCCGACCACACCGTCGTCCGTGTTTCGAGCACACAACCGTCCGTAGTTCACCGCCGAGCCCCCTTGAGCTCGCCGCCGCCTCCACAGTTCATGGCCGAGTCAACCGAGTCCTCCGCGCACAAGCCGTCATCATCCGAGATCGAGCCATCCCACCGACCTCGAATATCTTTGATCTCTTCTCTCTCTCTCTAGCTCTCTATTTTGGGTTGTGTTGGGTGAAAAACATCTTTTGGCAAAAAAAAAAAAATGTAAGAAGTGTATAAGTTAAAACGACACAGTGCGTTATAAGGGTAAACTGGTCTTTCAAAAATTTTGGTGCCGGAAGCTGATGTTATGGGAGTAAATTGCAACAAAATCATAGTTCAGGAGGTAAATTGCAACAAAATCATAGTTCAGGGGGGTTTTTTGTAATTCAGGGAGGTTTCTTGCAAATAACCAATAATTCAAGGGGGTAAATTGCAACAAAATTATAGTTCAGGGGGGTTTTTTGTAGTTCAGGGGGGTTTCTTGTAAATAACCAATAGTTTAAGGAGGTTTAATACACTTTACCCCATAAATATCACATATAAATACCTGTTTAATAATTTATTTAGGGTTAGAACTTGCCATAAATATCAAATGTTAACCACAGTTTCATAGGATTATTATTTCTTTAAATGTGAGAACAAGAAAACCTGGACTAAAAAAAATATATCTAAATTGTGATTGAGACATTAACAATTATTAAGATATAGCAATAACAATTATAACATGAACTTTCATGCGGATATTTTATGGTTGTGTTGTACAAGTGCCAAAATTTTCTTTTCCCATTTCCAAACCCATCGTTATCGAGATCCAATAAACAAAAATTTGGCTCAATTTAAATAAATAAAGAGTCAAGTGCGTAAAACATCTCTAAAGTATATTTATAGTGTATATTACATCCCTCATGTGCAAAAAACACTCCTAAAGTTTTAATTTTGTACAAATAGGTCCCTCCGACAAATTTAAACCCTAAGTTGACTAAATTACACTTACTAAACTATTTTATAAAATATATAAAAATAAATAATTTTATAAAATAATTGAAAATGACACTATTGGAGATGCCTCTCACGTGCAAAAAACACTCCTAAACTTTCAATCTGGTGTAAATAGGTTCCTCTAACACATTTAAACTCTAAGTTGACTAAATTACTCTTATTGAACCATTTTATAAAATATATAAAAATAAATAATTTTATAAAAATGATCGAAAATAACACAATTGGAGGACATCGGCAATGGACAAATAGAGATAAAAATATAAAATAAAAGTATAAAAGAAAAGTAAAGATAAAAATAAAAAAAACGAAAAATAAAATGCGAATTAAAATAATTTTCCAATGCACGCTGATATTCGCAAATTTTTTTTTTTTTTTTTTTTTTAACAGTGTTGATACGAAAAAAATAAAATAAAGAAAAACAAATTTTAATACAAAAGAGTAAATTGAAATCTCAAAAAAATTAAATCATTGTTCTACAAATTCTCAAATTTTTTTTTTTTTTTAAAAATGTTTAGAGATATATATAGAGAAAAAAGTTTTAAAAATATATATATAAGGTAATATGCACATAACACCACTATACCATGAGATTAGTAGCACATATGCCCCCTTGAACATTTTCAAAAGAGTAAAAGGGCAAAACGGGTATTACAATACTAATTTATGTCATAAGGGGTATTTTTGTATAATGTGAAAATATTAGGGATGTTTTTTATACACTTTTTAAAATAGAGATAAAAGTACCATGCAGAGTATACTTTAAAGGTGTTTTCTACACTTGTCTCGCATATAAAAAGTACTATTCTATCTTGCATTCACTTGATAAACGCTGAACTCGGAATGCTGATTTTTTTCTTATTTTATTAAACATTTAATTTGATAATTAGTTGACAACTAAAATTTAATAATCTGTTAGCTAAGTAAGCCTACTGTCATGCCCCGCCTATGGAGGTTACGCCACGCAGGCGACACGCAAGAGCTGAGGAAGACGCTGCATGGCAACTACTTGGCGAGTGGACTTTCTAAAGTCTTCCGGAGTTATCTAAAGGTTGTGTGGAAGATTCTAAATATGTGTAATATATTATAGAGTTCTCCAGAATTGTGTGGAGTAGTATGGAGAGTTCTAGAATGTTGTAGATACTAGTAGATAAGTATGAAAGTGTGAAGAAGGTGAGAGAAGATTCTAGAGAATCGATCTCCACCGTTGATTAGAATGCATCCTAGCCATCCATTAGGGATGGGGATGCCTATAAATAGAAGTAGGACTTCATTTTGTAGCCAACAAGTCCTAGAGTGAGTCTTGAGAGCCTTGTAGAAAACTTGAGTGCTAGTCTTGTACAAAGCATTCTTTGAAGTAATAGAAGTGCTCATTCCTTACCAACTTGAGTGTCTTAGTGTGTGTGAATGTGCAAGCCAAGTGAGGAGAGGGCGAGAGCCACTACAACACTAGTAAACGCACGAGGGGAGTGTGTTGGCTAAGGTGTGCATGGGAGTTAGGCTGACCAAGTACTTGCGAGAGTGGAAACAACGTCTTGGTGCTGCACGGGAGCAACTAGAGTGGTGCTAAAACTCTAAGCCCGTGACACTACGCTAAATTTGATTAAATAATAATTCAATTTGACATAATATAACATAAAATATGCTATAAATATATCTTATAAATCTCTATATATGTTATATACGTAGTATCAAAATGTTCCTCCTTCCCTTTACAAAGAGTTTAAATACCTAATTCCTTTGTAATTCATTTTAAATTTGTTTGCTGTGATTTTCTTTTTCTTTCTTTTAATCATTGTTTGGCAACCTCTTCTTACATTATTTTTTTATAACAAAATTAATACTTTTAATGGATTGGATTATTAAAATTTAAGATTAGTAACAAATAAAAAATGAATTTCTTCATAAATAGTCTGTCTAAGTTATCTGATTGGATCCAACCTAACCGAATCCGAATACAGGTGGCATTTACATACACTCGGGTAAAATAAGTCTATAGTCCTTTCCTGTACATATACGGTCCATACATATAAGTTGCATACATCTAAAAAGGTTAATTTTACTGACACGCCTCAAGTTTGATCAAATATCATATTGAAATATCTTTTGCAAAAAATTATTACTCATATCCCAAATCACTTTTTCATGACTGACACCATCAAAATGAAAAATATCATTTTTACCCTCATTTTGTTAATACCTTTTAATAAAAACATCAAAATTATATAATTACCCCATCATGTATAGTTAATCTAAAACATCATAATTATACATATATACATACATACATACACCCTCAGTGCCTCACCCTTAGGGTCAGTTTGGTGCAGTGGAAAAGGGAGGAAAGGGAAGGGAAGGTGATGGAAGGGGATTAAAAATTTGTGTTTGGCAAAAATTGTTGGAAGGAAAAATAACGAAAGGGAAAGGTTTTGTCACGCCCCGCCTATGGAGGTTACGCCACGCAAGTGACACGCAGGCGCTGAGGAGGACGCTGCATGGCAACTGCATGGCGAATGGAGTTTCTAGAGTCTTTCGGAATTGTTTAGAGTTGTGTAAAAGATTCTAGATATGTGTAGCATATTCTAGAATTCTCCAGAATTGTGTGGAGTAGTATGGAGAGTTTTAGAATATTGTAGATACTAGTAGATAAGTATGGAAGTGTGAAGAAGGTGGGAGAAGATTCTAGAGAATCAATCTCCACATTCGGTTAGAATGCATCCTAGCCGTCCATTAGGGATGGGGATGCTTATAAATAGGAGTGGGACTTTATTTTGTAGATAACAAGTCCTGAAGTGAGTCTTGAGAGCCTTGTTAAAGCCAAGGAAGAAGAAGGCGCCGGAGCCTAAGGAGTACGATGGGGCAAGGAATGCACGCCATA